ATTATTATATTATAATTATATTATTATAGATATATAAATTTCAGTATAAAAACACGTTACAAAAATGTATGTGTATGTATGAAGTATGATATTAATATGTAGTCATATATGTTGTATGTGATGTGTCATATATGTAAGTTCTATTAAATCGATAAAACAGATTCCCTAATGTTTTATCCACAGATAATTATGCTTTGACCAAAGTGAGATAAAAACGTTTCCTGTAATATCACGCAGAAAGAAACCAGCTCTATTCATGCAGGATAATGTCTACGTGGTTCTTTTCTATGCTATTTGACAAGGACGATCAAAGACTGGAATTCAGTTGATTCTTATTTCAAGACCGTCTTAAATAATGTCTTAAAACTAATTCAGTCCTCTAATTGGTTCGTGACACCAAGACAGAACTTATTTAAGACGGTCTTGAATATATAATAAGAACTGACTATGAATACCGGCCAAAGTTGATTATTCATCTTTGTCTAATCCATGTCGTAATAGTATGGAAAAGAACCACAACGTGGACATTATCCTACGAAGTTTGGTATACGAATAAAAAGGCAGGGATGTCCACTCTCAAGTTTCTTTCTGTGGGTATGATTAACATAATGTTACAAATACTTTAAAGCAATTTTTGATTGGTCAATTTGTAAAATTCTTTTCTATACTTGATCAACCAAACGTATCAAAGCATTTTTAGCGAGACTTTGATTGCAGCCTTATCCAATGTCGCGGATTTATAGATGGCGTTATCCGCGCCAACTCCAGCGTCATAGCGAGAGAAAGACGCATTTTTTGTGGCCATCTACAAACATCACCGATGCAACCAAAAATGTCATGCCGTTGTATGCTGCTTGATTTCGTTTCGCCAATTGTTTCAGAGATCTATATTACAATAAATCTACTTGTCTCGCGTATTCCAGTATTGTTTTATAGTTTTTGAGAAGTAAATGAGCGTGGATGAAATCACAGCAAAATTGAGCGGGATTCTTGGCGATCTTCCATTGGTCGATAGTCGAGAATAGTGTCTTTCAGCGATTTCATTGGCTATCTCTCTCTCCCGCCAGTCGCGTCGCGTGACCGAAATTTCTGATGCGTATAGTGCTAAATCCGTCTCTTTTCTTCCATCCCTTCCTTCCCCCCATTTACTTCTCCCACTGATGACGCATTCTCTAACCATCGATCCGAACGCATTCAGGAACGTAAAAACTAGACTTATCTTGGTTCCCATTTTTTTTCACAGCGAACAAAACTTTTTATTTATTAAAAAATTTTGCTATATAACTGTTTACAGATCTCGCTAATGATAAATCACTTCTAAAATAATTCGGTATGAAGTATTATAAATTAAATGTTAAAAAATTTAGAAAACAAATTTAATATAAAGAGATTCTACTAATTATAGATCTTAAATTTTTTAAAATTTCAATATTTAACAATACTTATATATATTTTTAAATAGTTCAATATTTTTAGAAGTAAGACAATAATTCGATCTAAAAGCTAAGTAAAATAATTTTTAATTACCTACGACTGATCATATTTTAATAAACGATTCAACATAAATAATAAAGTTTAACAGACGAAACAAAAGCTATTAATTCAAGCCGAATGAAGTTCTGTTAAGACGTTCTCGCTGTTTACATTCATGAATGAAACTCATTGAATGAATGCTTAATGAAAACACATTTTCATTCACGCAGGGAACAATCGAGGAATCTAACAATAAGTCAAATTAGAAAAAAAACATTTTACGTTATTTTTCATAAGATTAACGTGAGAACATAACGTTAGATCGCGTTTGGTCGTAAAAGGGATTCACGATATTTACGGATCGAATCCGAGGGTACCTCAGACATGTCGAACGATCCTGAGCGAAGCCACGTGATTGGTCAGCAAAGTCGTACGTCCCAAGATGCCTCGCGCGTAAATTGCCGGCGGGAGGACCTCCGGGCTGCGCACGACGCCGTACTTTCTTCTCCATTGGGTAGTCGAAGAGAACGGCTGCGTAACGAGCTATCTACGATCATTCGAGTGGCTTTGTGCTCACACAGTGCATCGTGGTGTGCCGCGTAACGTAACCTACGCGGGTAATCCGGTAATATCGACAGATAAAAAGCAGACGCGATGGCCGATCAGGAGAACAAGGATTTCAGCGACGACATCGCGGAACAAAACTTCGCAGAGCAGAACGGCGAGGCCGAGAACAACGGCGAGAACAACGTCGCAGAGAACAATCAGGAGTCGCAAGAAGACAGGTAATTCTCCTCCCGGGTCTCCTGTTTGCTCGCCCCTCTCGTACCGCAAGCTAATTAATTGTCCCGGATTGCGCGATCGCTTCGTACTTCAGGCGCGTTATAGCCCGGCGATCGCGCGAATCGGCGATAACTTCGCGACAACGCGGCCGACCGGGCCGCGCGCGCGCGCGCGCGAACGAGCGAGCGAGCGAGCGAAGCGCGTCGGCACGCGTCTCACAAAATGGCGGAGGCGTTGCGTTCCGCCGCGGAACGTAATCCGTTCGCATCGACGTCACGACGAACGCCTACGTTTCGACGACACGACCTCGTCGCTTCTCCGTGGCGCGCCGTGTACGCGAACACCCATATTTCGCGGTGATTCTCCATTCGCGATTAGGATCCATTAACGAAAGAAGCCGGCGGCAATAATGGCGGTGTAAGAACGAGTGGAGGCGCCGGCAGCGGCTCCGGAAAGGGCGCGCCCGAAGCGTCGTAGCGTCATAAGAGGGAGAGAGAGAGAGAGAGAGAAGGAACGAGAATAGAAACGATGTTGTGCGTAATAATGTCGAGGAATCTTCCACACAGCACGTACTGTTTTCGTGCTGCGCGAAAAAGAACGGAAATTTGCACGTTTGCTATCTGGGCGCGCTCCGTTACAAACTTCCGTTGCAAACACGTGGAAATCTTTGTCCCTTGTAGGCTCGCAGAACCGAGTTACTTGAAGCATTGGATGAATAAAAAAAAATGTTAGTACTGTAAAATAAAAATAGAATTAATTCCAGTAAAAGAAATATATTGGAAACGAAGAAATATCACTCAAAAAGAGGGCAATGCGCCGAAAAAAGTCCCGCCTCGTTGACTGTGTTCTATTATTCACTGTAGGTATTGAAAATCTGTATATATACATATATATATATACATATGTATATATATATATATATATATACATATATATACGTAATGAGTTATAGATTTTCAGTATTCAAGATGAATAATGGGACGCAGTTATTACGCACTTCACACAAAATGTGTGTTGGTGGATCTTAAATTCTCGTCTGCCATTGTCTCGCGCTGCTCTCTTTTCTTTTTCCTCTATTCCTTTTTTTTTTCAGCGTAACGGATCTCGAGCTGGATGAATTTGACCAGAAACTTCCTTTCCTCCAATTTCAATAAAAAAATACAAGACATCTGTGTAAATAAAAAAATTACCTAAAAAGTTATAATTTTGCGATTCTGCGCGCGTCCCGTTTTTTATTTCTCCCGTTATATTGTTCATATTGTATATCAAGGGAATTTTGATATTTATTTTTCTTTGTATCATTTTTTTATAATTTTTATTTGCTCTTCGTATTTCTGCAGCCTTGGATTTTTGCAAATTTTTACGCTATTTGGGATATCTTTTTGCAAAAAAGGGTAAGCATTGGATTTATTTCAATTTCACAAAAGTATATAGAATGTTTCAGGATATAAAATTCAGGAAGCGGACGTAATCTTCAAATTCTACTTAATGTAGGTAAATTGAAATATAATAAAATATAAACAATTAATCTATTGCCTCGTTATAGAATAAGATGCATTTTTGCAATAATGTTGACTGAATATGAATTTGAAGATACACCTCCTTGTCCTCCTCCTATCCTATAATTAAAAATAAAAATGTTCAAGGGACACGAGTTTCACGTGTATAAAATAACGGAAGTAAAACAGCCAAATGCCGGCGCTCCACTACGTCTTGAAATATAATAATCAAAGATTTAAATGAGATAATGCATGCTATATTACGCAAAAATAATTTAAGACACCACTATATAACGGCGACTAAAGGCGCTAGTTTATAAATTTATATGTGCTGTTGTTGCGAGGTATAACATTTATCTGTTTTTGAAATTTTTCGTAATTTTGTGTATTAAACTCCTTGTTTTCTATCCCTATCTAGTTAATGATATAATTGTAGTTCTCTGTAATTGATAAAGAGAAATTGTGGGTTCTGCAGTCGATCAATTTTTGCGAACGCAACATCATAAGCAAATAATAATCCGTAATGTTTTTATAGAGCCTAAACTTTCGAGTACATTTTTTGGCCAGCCGAGTCTTCTATCCTCGTACGGTTCATTGCAGCTGAATTATGGTAAACAGTCAATTGATTTACGATTGACAAATACGTACACTTACATGGGATCGACGTGAACCGCAAAACCTTGCAGTGATTTCCGAGTCCTAATTATTGCGAGAAGTCTACTTCAAGTTCAAGTTCGTCACGTTCCGTCATGACACAAGCACTGGAACTCAAATTAATTTCGTCAAATCGATAAAGTCTCGCACAGACACACACTTGCCTGCTGGGTCACGCGTAGAGTAATTTCCGATCCAAATGCTGTTTGGGCGTGACCAAAGCACAAAATCATAGGGACAATGCGAAAACGTCCAGTAGGTCGGAACGCCATTTAACCCCAGTTTATGTGGCTTGATCTACAGGTGATCGACAACGGTTTTCACATGGCGGGCGGCTCACAGGTGGAAAACGTCACCCGACCAGCAACTGATTACCGGCGAGTGACTGGTGCCAACGGTATTTATCACCAGCCATAAATAAAAAATAAAGAGTCAAATATAATAAGTAAATCAATTAATCGTGTTGACACTGCCAAAAACAAAGTCAGAGCAAAAACCGAGCTTGCAGCTCGTTGTTAGAATGCAGAAAACGAATGAAAAAAAATATATATATATAATATATATCAGAAATTGAAACCATTCTTGCATTACATCGCAATTTGTCTATGAGCGTTGTAAACAAAGAGAGAGAAAGAATGAGAAAGAGACAAATATATAAATAAACACGTACATGTAAAATATAAATAAATATCCCATATTGTATCCATCTATATTATATCCATATAGATATGTCGATCGAAAATATCAAGAGTTGTTTTATCATTTAAATCGTAATGAAAACAATCTTTTTAGCTTTTCGATATAGAGTTGCAGTCTATCCTAGCATATACCATATTCTTTGGGCCAATCTGCAGTCAGTAACCACTTGGAAAAATTAAATTCTTGTTTCCCTTAGGAGCAGAGCTGTGATATGTCTACTGGAGTTGTCTAACTATTGCTCGGGTTCTCACACAAACGTCGATGAATAGTACCTTGTTCTCTCGATGCATTGATTTTTTACATACCTATATACTTTTTTCCAAGTTTTCTTTTCGATTTTTTCTTTCTTTTTTTTTTACAATTGAACATTCAAATCAAGGTTTCTATGGTGTGAAAAGCAGTTCTTCTCTGGTTGTTTCTCGTAACTTTATACAAAGGACAGATGCATATATCGTAAGCTATCTTTATCAATTCTCATTTATTCTAGGAATGGTATTCTATACTCTTGTAATTGCTTTGCATTGTAATTATGTTATCATTGTAAGAAGATTTTTCTAAATTTCGATAATGGGCGATCTAATTAGCCGTAGATTAAATGCGTTTGTTTGTCGTAGATATATATAATTATACATAGTCTTTACATATGTGCGATGTTTAATTGAATAAAATATTCTTCATTTATATAAATCTTTTTGATGGTCGATACAGTGCCCCTTTTGCGAATGACACTACAGGTCTGTTACGTTACTTGCATATCGTCTGCATTCAATTTTTTCATACCTTAACACTGATTATATAGTCTTTCCAGGGGTCAAGTCGACATTTTTTTTTTTTTTAAATAATAATAAATGGGATTTTTAGATTTTTTTTTTTTCGTTTTTTAAAAGTTAAATTCTCGTTTCGATCTTAATCCTTTATATTAATACGTTCGAGAAATTCACTTAGTGAAATAAATTCGTTCCGTTGCTTTGCAGGTCGGCCGGGGCTAACCAGGATTCTCTGAACGATAGGTATTTTCAAACTTTATTATATTTTTCTTATTTTTTTAGCATGTCGGTGTTAAGAGTGAAAGAAAAGTTGCGCGACGATACGAAACGATGAAAACTACTTGATGCTCAAGTTGTGTATTCGAGTAATAACAGACTATGACCATTCCGTAACTTGTAACAGTCACTTGCGAAAGAGGCCCAAATACATTTCCATCTTCCGTTTTCATTACAGATAACTTTTTTGCGCGCAGTTGCAGAGATTTGAGAATTTGCCAACATCGTAAGCCCGAATAGCAATCCTATTTAGATGATAAATCGTGAATTTCTCTTTACGAACATTCGGTTTTGCAATAATGATTAAAGACTTAAGACGAATGTCTTTCATTCTCTCTTATTAATTTTAATATTTTTCTGTTTTCCTTTTCTTTCGCAGGAAATTATTCGTCGGTGGTTTAAGCTGGGAAACGACAGACAGTAAGTAACTTTTTTTTTAAACTTATACTCTTTTAAAAATTTATTTTCTTTATAAAATCTTAGAAAAATAAAACAAAAAAGATCAGCGATGATGATTTATTTCTTTGCCCTTAGGACACCTTTGGATGACAATTGTCATGTGAAAAGAACTTTTTACTGAGCTTAAATTACAATATTGTTTATATAAATATTTTTTAAACGATTTAAAGAATTCTTATAAAGTGATTATTTTATACATTTTTAGAGGAATTGCGAGAACATTTCAGCGCATATGGTGATATTGAAAGCATCAATGTCAAGACAGATCCAAATACGGGACGATCGAGAGGATTTGCCTTCATTGTTTTTGCTAAAGCTGAATCTCTTGATAAGGTATTCAATTTTGTATTTTATCGCAACGGAAAAATTATATAATATTTATTATTACTAATTTTAATTATGTTACTGTTTATCTTTTACATACATGATACTTAAATGATGATAATTAAAAAGTCAGTTCTGCTACTGAATGCATGTGACGATAATTCTTTTTTCTGAAGTGTTTTTACAAACAAATTTTTATAATATTTTTTAACGAATTGTTTACCAAATAATTAAATAAGAAAAAATAATTTTCCAGATTATGTCTGCTGGTGATCATGTTATCAATAACAAAAAGGTTGATCCTAAAAAGGCAAAAGCCAGACATGGGAAAATATTTGTCGGCGGGCTTTCGACAGAACTTTCCGATGATGATATTAAGAATTTCTTCTCACAGTTTGGAACTGTAAGTACTTTAGCGTTTCTGTATACTTTAACTTAAATATCCTTAAACAAGAGAGTCCTCTTATTAATACAAAAATCTAAAAAATTTTTTAGATTGTCGAGGTAGAGATGCCGTTCGACAAAACAAAAAATCAGAGGAAAGGATTCTGTTTCATCACTTTTGAATCTGAACAAGTGGTGAATGAACTGTTGAAGACTTCGAAACAAACGATAAATGGTAAAGAGGTAAGTAATGATTAAAAAATCGAATTATTTCGAAGCTTTAATAAAATATTTGTAAAATCTATTTTAAAATATTTAGATTATTATTTCTAAAATAAATGTATGATTTCACATTTTATTTTTTTCTAAGACGATAAAAAGACCGATCGACAAAAATGAAACAAAATTTAAATTTTTAATGTAGATCTCATTGCGACTAATTTTAATAATATTATATTCATCTTTTACGTACATGGAATGTTTATATTGTTAGTTCTATGTATTATTAAATGCATGTAACGACAAAATTTACAAACATTTTTTATAAACAAATTTTATAACATATTTTTTAACGAATTATATCGCTAAATAATTAAAAAAAAATAGCAATGATTATATTTGAAATATTAAACAGGTTGATGTAAAGAAAGCAACACCCAAGCCCGATGGAATGATCGGTATGCGCGGTGGACCCGGCGGCCGTGGTAGTCGTGGCGCCAGAGGTGGCCGAGGTCGAGGATTTGGTCAAGGTGGATGGGGACAGGGTGGTTATGGCGGTGGTTACAGTGGTGGCTACGGTCAAGGAGGATACGGCGGTGGCTACGATGGATACGGATACGATTATTACGGTGGGGGTGGGTACGGAGGTTACAGCGGCTACGACTACAGTGGATACGGTAATTCCATTAACTATTACTAAAATCGATGATAAAATGGGCATATGATGTGCCGATCATTATCAAGATTTATTTTGCTTTTTTCTCGTGTGTCTTGTTTTCCTTCGAAAAAGAAGCTATAAATAATAATTAACGGCAAGATTATTCGTTGTTACCGTCCCAGTGTATTCGGTAGGCGATTATGACAAAAATTATAGATACCTGAGGAAAATATATGCATATTATGACTGATTTAATTCCTTTGTCGTGCATTCAAATTGCTTAACTTCTCTTCATTTTTTTTTTTATTAATCCAAACAGACTTGTGTTTACTTAATGAAATATAAATTTATATTGTCAGCTTCGTTAAATATGTATTATTCAACAGTAAGAGGAAATGGAATGATCAGAAATTTTATGTATGTATTATACTGGGTATTAAGTTTTAGTATTATAGATATAAGTAGGAATACGAGTGCTGGTTTATGGACAGATCAGTAACAATTCTAATTTGTTCATATTAATACATTTAAAAAAACATGTATTTTAACTATTTTAACTTGAATAATTTTAATTTTATAGACTCCAAAAAAATTATTTTATTAATTTTATCATTGATATGGTACTTCGTTACTTATATAAACCAGTGACTCGAACTTATGAAAATATTTTTCGAATTATGTTTTTTCAGTATATTACAACATAAATCTGTAACAAATCCGATTATTGAAAGGCTACATATAGAATGAACATAATTCGAATTATTTTCTACTTTTAATCTATTTTAAAGCACTGACTGTTTATCGCATTATATTAATCTATACATCATTTGCTAAATTATATTCTTTAATATTCTACTAATATTGAAATTGTATATACATATACATGTATAAATAAGCAATTAACAAAGTTAACATAAGAAAAAATATAATAGGTAACAATGAATGTGTGTGTGATGTTTAATGTCACGTTTGCGTTTTATAATATTTATCGATATATTATCACATACAATTAATCAATAATCAATCGATGTAAGTATTTTCTTTCAGATAAAATTTTGATAAAATTACAATTATTTTATATATCGATATACGTAAAACAATGATTTTTGAAATGATGGATTTAATAACTTTCAACATTTCATATGTTCATTTATTGATATGAATTTTTTTTTTTTTTTTTTT